TATATATATATATATATATATATATATATATATATATATATATATATATATATATATATATTATTTCAACGAAATTGCCCCTCCGCAACTTTAAATATACATACAAAATCAGTTACATACCTCTTCTCTACTCATTGCTGTTCAAACTCCATGGAAATGCAGAAGAAAATCATGGAGAGAGGAGAAGAAGACCGACTCAGTGATTTGCCCGACGCGATTCTACTATACATCCTCTCTATGTTGCCGGAGGGAAAAGAAGTTGTGAGAACGAGCGTATTATCTCAGCGATGGCGGTTTCTTTGGAAGTCCGTTGCAGTTTCACTCAATTTCGGCGTCCTCGATTACCCCTATGTTGAACGAACCAAAAAGAAAATTCTTGCTTTCGTAGCTTCCATCAATAGAGAGCTTCATTATTGGAGGTCTTGCGAGAAAATCAAAGCATTTAGGGTTTTTCCCGTTAAATACAAAGAGTATCTTGTTAAAGATTATGATTTTTGGGTACATTTTGCAATGAAAATTGCTAATGTTGAAGAGTTCACACTTAAATTTTGTATTATCACTTTTCCAGATTACGCGTATAAGTTTCCTCAGTTTGCGTATAAGAATACGTCGTTAAGGAATTTGGTTTTGCGCAACTGCGGGCTAAACCCTTCTGGTAGTGTGAACTGGAGCAGTCTGGTTTCTCTTTCCATTGGACGCCTGAAATTGACGGATTGTGCCATGGAAAAAATATTATCAGGTTGCCCCAAATTGGAGAGCTTGGAACTGGATAATGTTTTGTGCATTCGCCGTTTGGTAATCAGCTCTGTGAAGCTGAGAAAGTTGATCATATTAAATGATGAAATTACTTATCATAACCAATGGCATGAAGAAGATATCCATCTGCTCGAAATATTTGCCCCATATATTCAAAATTTGGTACTTTCGGGGTTCTTATACAATGAGATACGCTTGCAGCAGAGCAGTGTGGCTTCACTTGTCACTGCAGTCCTTCATCTTAATGTTGATTTTATTGAATTTGAAAATGAAGAAGAGAAACTGGAGAAGGAGTTTAGATATTTGAAGGAACTTCTTCTCAGTGTTGCCCATGTCAAGAATCTTGAATTGGGTCCCTTGTGCATCGAGGTTTATTCATACTCTTGACTCTTGATTATTCATAATTTCTTTTTTCATTTTGCGACTTTTTATTTGCTATTAATTTATCCGTTTGTAACATTAACAGTTCCATTACGTAGGATAATCTGATAATTAAGTTTGTTACTACTTAAGAGTAACATTCTCATTGCCAATTTGGTTGGACAGTGGCTATTGAACAAATTTTTTTAATGATGAACTGTGAGAATAAAGAGTTTGCAGTGGACAGAAATATTTAAAATTCTGATTGATTTAAAATCAGTTTCTCCAAGTGATTAAAAATCAAATTAGATTTCCAACCAACCTTGAACACTTTGATGTGGCTTGTGGCAAAACAGTCGTATAATCCAAGCTGTTTTTACAAATTATTCAACAATTTGTATGTCATTTATTTGGTGAGTCACATTCCTTTGTTTGACATATTCTGGTTTATATATTTGGTTTATAAGTGCTTTCCCATACTGGAGTTGAGAGGGTGGCGATCTCCACTATCAGGCTGCAAATTCTTAAAACTTAACACAGCATTAAAACACTTGGACTTCGCTGGAATTTACAGCTTTCTGCAGAGTTCATCGGAACTTGAGACATTGGTCCTTGACTGGAACAATCACAAACCAATAGTAAGTTCCTTTTAGACCTTTATTCTTGTTATCTCATGTTTATCAAGCAACTATTAATGGTAGAAGAAGGCAATATGTATCATTATATTTCTTATCTAAAGTACTTAAGAGAAAACAATCACTGAATTTTGTTATAAAAATTTGATCCACCTCGGTGGTATATTGCATAAACGATAATAAAAGGTTATGGCAAAAAAATGTAAGAATTGAGCCTCAATCCTCAAGTAAAGAGAAGATTGAGGATTCTCCAACTGTGATTAAACTGTAGGAGATATGCCTCTAATGAGTAAGCAAAAAGTGTGTTTTTGTATTGGAGGGCTCTCCAATCTGTGAAAATAATAGTATTTGAAATGCTACTTTGCAAGGAGGTCCGGATCTGCTTTTAGTCTTAAAAGTTGATCATTTCTCTTTGCTAAATCTGCTCACAATTTATTTCCTCAAGGAAATAGTACTTGGCAGAAACTTCATCTTATTACGAACAGTTCTCTGAGTCATCCAGTTCTACAGTCAACTTTGTTGTAGTTGTAGATAAAGATGTTTAACAAGGGGTAGTAGTAGTACTCACCTTCACGTGAGGAGATGATCAGCTTCAATGATGCTTTCAAACATTCCATTTGTTGTTTGCATGTAGCACTTTGTAACATTTGCTAAGCACTTGACATGCTCCTTAAATCTGAAAATTCATCTCCTTTTTAATTCTATCCATAATTAACTCCTTGACTTTCTACTTCCATCTTAGGAGAATAACTGGTTAATATGGCGGATTTTTCCTGCAGGACCAGCTCTTAAGTTACACAAAAGAGGTTGAACAGCGCAGGAGGTTTGAGGCATATAAAAACTGCTCATTGCTACACCTAAAGACCATCAAGATCATTAACTTTCATGGAGAACTAATTGGAAATGATCTTGTACTTCGATTGGTAAAATATTTGCTAGAGAATGCAACAGTTCTAGAAAAGTTGGTCGTTGTTGCCAAATATGAAGGGAGTGATGTGCCCCGGGATTATGTTGAAGTGGAACAAGAGTTCCTAAGCTTTCCAATATCCTCTACGCACGCTTCAGTTGTCTTTTGTTATCGATAATCTTTGTGCCCTGTTGTTTGTATTGATTGCGACTTAACAGCTGTTATTTCATTTAGAAGTTGGTTTGCGGCTGATAGATATGGTTAGGATTCTGCTTGTCTGTATCCAAGGAGGAGTTAGTAGTTCTTCATGTCTAAGCAACAGTGTGTTTATTCTCTGATCCTCGTGTAAGAAATGCTCTAAATGTTACGTAAACTTCTATTCGTGTTGCAGAATCATGATCATGTTTTTGCAGTATGGAAGGTTAAAGGTTGAAAGCAGTATTTCATGATTCATTATGTGACCAAGGTTTTTTTTTCTGTTGGCCTATGTTATTAACACAAACATAAGAAAAGTGCAGATTTTTATTTCCCGGAAATGAACTTACTGCAATAGACTTGTTTATATAGTGTATGACTAGTTTTTCCAGGTATCATGAGTTGAATGCCATGAATTCCAGCCACATGAAGATCTTGCATTGGCAAGAACTTATAGGATTAAGACAATGCTAAGTGCTAACTGTTGAGTACAACTTTGCGTCAGATATGATGATGACTGATGAGAAATCCATTAAGAAAAAACTTGATTTTGCAAGGATATGGGTATCGAGCATATCTTCTGACGAGAACTTATATCAGTATACTGCTTGCTCGTTTGTCTTCTTTTTCATTTGTTTAAGGAACTAGAAACTGCTTGATCGTTAATTCATTTGCCGCAGGTAATTTTTTTGCATCATTTGTTTGTTTTCTCTGCTTCAGAAAGTTCCTTCTAAGCAAGAACATATGACGAAGTGTAAGAACAGAAAATGTTATCCAAATTCCAATCATATTATTGTCACCTTTGATATAACCCATGCACTGATGAAATAATCATAGCGTTTTTTTCTCCCTCAATCCCTTTTATATAACTTATTCCATCTTGGAATGTCCCAAGATATTCTATATTCTTATAATAATATTATTCTACACAACTTCAAGAATTCAATACATTTGACTATTCGAATTTTCAACTTTGATATGATGTTCTCTGTTAGTGGGATTTCACTGGATCGGGTTGTTGTTGTTGATATGATGTTCTCGTCGAAACCTTTTATTTAATGCTTTGTTCCAATACCACTATATAAAGTCAAATTAACATTCTAAACTCCCTGTCCAGTCAAATGTCTGTGATATAAATGGGTGTCGAGCCCCCTTTTTTCCCCAATCGGAAATCGGGTTTATGACATTCTGGTTGGGACAACTCTTTTCCTTTTGGGAAAGGGGTTTTGCAATTTTGAAGAGTCGCCACCTAATGATTTAAGGTGCAATAGGACACCTATAGGGTTCATTTGTAACTACGTTTGATAATCAGAGACAGGGTAAGGATTTGAAATTATCCCAAGGGTAAGGTGTTAGGCACCCCTCAGGATCCACTAGTGTGGTTCCCGGCCAGACAGTTTTTGTGAATTTGTACAGTTAGCAAATAAACAAGTATGGTAGGGGGTTTAAATTCAAGTACACAAGTGCTTGAGAAAACAATTAATGAAAAACAAGACTTTGAAAAGGAATTACAGTGTAAGCATAAAAGGAAGGGGGAGGGAGGGGGGGGGGGGG